TCCGCGACGTACGCAAACGAATGTCGTCATTGGAAGACAGGCAGCCATGGCGCCTCGTCGTGGTTGGCGCTGGCGCCGCCGTCTCCCTACCGCTCTCGTGCTCCTCACCACCATCACCGTCGTCGCCAGCAGCTTGCTTAATTGGTGGGTACGCCAGCGTGGAGACTTACACACCGGCCACGACGCACTGCCCGGCGGAAGGCGGCAACTTCAGCGCCGGCAGCATGTACAGGTGAACAGAGACGGCCTCCTCCACAGCCTCCGCGACGGCGCCGCCACAAACGCCGGGTTCCTCAACACCACCTTCGGCGATCCCAACGACGAGGTGGTCGGCGTCGCCATGTGCTTCGCCGACGTCAGCTGGTCCGACTGCAAGAAGTGCCTTAACATGGCGCCTTCTTACATGATGAGCACGGCGTGTCCGAGCGGCCGGACCGGGGCGCTCCTGTACAACGAGTGCCTCCTCCGCTACTCCGACGAGAACTTCGCCTCGATGCAGACCGACACGGACGACCAATATCTCTTTGGGTTGTACGTCGAGGCATACGTCGGCGACATGGTGAGCATGAACAACACTCGGTGGAAGATGATGGACAGGCTCATCGCGGAAGCCGCCGCGTCGCCGCTCCGGTACGCCTTGGACAACAACGAGACGTACACGGACCCGACGACCGGTACTCGTGTGTACGGGCTTGCGCAGTGCAGGAGGGACCTGACGATGGAGGAGTGCACCAAGTGCCTCAATGACCTTGTTCGGATTCTGCTGGATAACTATCCTAACAACACCGCTGCTTTTTTGAAGGGGTTCAGCTGCTTTGCCAAATACCACCCAGAGCCGATCAGTTCGTTCATGGTGCCATCAAGTGCACCTGGTATGCTTATTTCTACCTATTATATTGGTATATATATCCCGTACGTTATAGTATTTCTTATTGTTGTTGTTGTTGTTTTTGTTTATCTCCAAGACTGACCTAAGTTTCTTCTTTTATCAACACTCTCTCTCTATATACAGCGAGAGTGAGAGAGAGACTACTGATTTAATTTTGTAATGTGTGCATATGTTGATCTATCAGAGCAGAAGGAACCATGCCCTGCCGCCTGCCGGTGAGCCCGTCGTCTGTTTGTACGCCTCCGGCGCCGGGCGCCGGCCAAGTGAATTCAAGTGTACGGTGACAGGCAGATCGAGACAGCAACCTGCTGCTGACGCACTCACTGACTGCTTCAGCTGTCTTTTTTTTTTTTGCAAATGGTCAAGCGATGCTGTTGGCCACAAGTCATGCTTACCTTCGTGCGTACGTCAGCTCAACAACAAAAGACAGCAGACGGACCCAAAAACCTGTCGCGACTGAATTCTAGCAGATGTGACTAATTACTGTAACACTAGTGAAAGGGGAATCCATATTATTCCCATTTTAATTACAGCTAGGCTAACCGCCGCATTCGATCTTCCTCTTTGGTGTGGCGGTGTTGAAGCAACTACTATACGACATGTGTGACTTGCTTTACAAAGGCAGTCAAAAAATGTGTCCTTGGTGTGGAGATCTGATTATTTATGGAGACACCTACAAAACAGCTGCCTCTGAAAATGAATTAACAAAGACAGACCGATCAAGAGGTCCACCTTTGGAAAAGCCTTGGCCCACCTCTGTTAACAGGCTGAGCTTGCTATGAATACGCGTGACCCATCTCAGAGCACTTTGGATCTTGAACTACATAAGCGGGCAAGACCCTAACTCCCTCACTTCTCTTCCTCCCACTCACAACTTCAGCCACAACCGCCTCGTTCTCTCTCTCACCCACCCCTCAAACAGGCGCTCCATCCCTCTTTCTCTCTCTTTCTCAACCGCCCCTTTCTCTCCTTGTCCAACGGCGGCGCCAGCTAGTGCCCTAGGGCAAGATAGTACGTAGGGCGCGGGGGCAGTTTGGGCGACAAATTGGTTTCTAGTAGGGGTGGGGCAAGTTCTGGCGGCGTGAGGGTGGCACAGACGCTCCAGGATCCTGTGCATGGTGCGCCTTTCTCACCCTCTCATTCACCTAGGTCTGAGACGACACTCTCCCTCCTCTTAATCTTTCTCTCACTCTCTCATGCAGGTGTGGCGGCAGCATGGCCAAGGAGGTGGCTTGGAGCTAGAGATTGGTCGGTGTCGGGTGGCGTGGCGGTGGGGAAGGCAAAGGACAGCGCGGTGGCGGGGAAGGAGATGATTCTCTATTATAGGAGAGAAACAACACACTTGTACAATAAAAGTAATGAAATTCATAGAATATTTTAAAAATTACATAAGTTAGCAAAACGTTACCCTTTACAGTATATAGGAACAAAATTTTGTACCGGAGAAACAAAACATTTGCACTTCTAAAATAATGAAATCTGTAGAACATTTTTTAAAAAACTACATAAGTAAATAATATTAGCAAAACATTACCTTTTAAGAATGGAACAAATGAATAAACATATCATGGAACAAATAGACAAAGAGAAGAAAAAAGATAAATCTAAACACAGAAATGTGGATTGTGCCCGCTAAACATATATATAGGCTATAAATCGGATGAACGTAGGCCAAAATAAAAGGCAAACATCTACATTTACATTTTGACCGCGTTAGTCAACTCATCAGCTGCTACGTACACAATGCGTCATGTCGTTTGCTGTACTCCGCGGCTCCAATGGTGACCACCTCATCTGGTTTCAACCTTGAATGGAGCACTGCCTTGGTCCCACCAAAGTAGTCCCTGATGAGTTCCCTAACCTTTGGGATCATGGTGCTTCCACCAATAAGAAGCACCTCATCAATGGTCTCCACTTCAGCTTGTGACACCACCCTATCCACCATCTCAACAACTTTGAGGAACAGATCATGGTTCACTTCCTCAAACTCGGCCCGCGTCAGTGGCTCTGACAAATCTACGCCGTCGACGAGCCATTCGATGCTCACTTGCGCATGTTCCTGGTGGCTCAATGTCTTCTTGGCAAGCTCGCACGCTATCCTCAGTTTGCTGAGTGCAATGCCATCGTTGGCGATGTCCTTTCCATGCTTGTCCCTGATCAGTTGGACGAAGTGGTCCACGATCCTCCGGTCGAAGTCCTGTCCTCCAAAGAAAGGGTCATACTGCGAGCTCAAGGCTTCATACACACCGTCCACGAAGGTCATGACGTTCGCCTCGGCCGTGCCGCCGCCGACGTGCAGCACGACGACGTTGCCCTCGTCGCGCAGGTTCCTGCTGAGGCCATAGGCGATGGCGGCCGCGATGGGCTCGCTGAGCCCCACCCTCACGGCCTTGAGGCCGGCAAGCCTGCCGGCGAACACTGCTGCGGACCTGGACGCGTAGTCGGAAAACTGCAGCGGGAGCGTGAGGATGGCGGCCTCCACCCGGTGGCCGAGGTGCTCCTCCGCCGTCTCCTTGAGCTTGGCCAGCACCACGGCCGTGAGCTGCTCGACGCCGATGTTCCTGACTGCGCCGTCCTTGGCCGTCTTCACCTCAATGTGAAGCTGCACGTTCTCCTCGACGACCTTGTATGGCAGATTCTCTTTGACGCTCTGAGCAAATTCCTGCTCGAAAACGCGAGTGAATCTGCATACATGAATTTGGTTCGTTATCATCACCAAGGTTTTCATTTTCGGAAATTAAAATTTATCGGGGTCACAGATAAAGAGGATAAACATGATATATCGGAAATATCGGACCAAATTCAAATAAAATTTGATTTGAATTTAAATAAATTTAAACAAAATTTGTACGAAAAAGATAGATATCTTCTTATCGGCACCTACGGATAAAAATGATATATCGGAAATATCAGGAGATTTCGGCCGATAAAGGAAACCATTCATCACCAATATTAATTGATCCGATCCAGCACCAGCCACCAGCGCGCATGCATGCAATATTCTAGCTAGAGATTAGTAATTAGGAAAGTAGCTAGATGTATGGTTAATTACCTTTTGCCGAGGAGGCGCTTGAAGCCGAAGACAGCGGCCCCGGGGTTGACGGCGTCGTGGTGCACGGCGTCCTCGCCGACGAGGACGGCGCCGTCGTCGGCGAAGGCGACCCAGGAGGGGATGCAGTGGTGGAACATGGTCTGGGTCGTCTCGCCGCTCTCGTAGCCGGCGACGCACGAGTTAGTGTTGCCCAGGTCGATGGCGACGACTCGCCCCGGCGGGTACGTCGCCGGATCGGGAGGCCAGTCGTCGTCCAGTAGCGCGCTCGCCTTGCCGAGCGCCAGGAGCCATACGAAAGCCCTAACGAGGAGGGCGACATCTTTGCGAGGCATGACAACACAAGATTTGATGCCTGCCTGATACGTGGTATCTATCCGCACTTACGCAGTTTATTTATGTAATAAGTAATAATTTGTTTAAAGAGAGCTTATGCAGCGTAAATATCTAGTAGTCCGATCCATATTTGCTACGGTCGCGTTGATCCAATAATGATCCGACTCGATCTTCCGGACTTTTAATCTGTAGCTGAGATGCTTGCAAGTATCCACACCGGCTCACGGCTCACGGCTCACGGCTCACGCACATATTTTCCAGTGTCCTGTTATCATATAGCAACATGAACGAAGCTACATCTTTTCGTGGAATAATTTCTGTTCATTCACTACTAAAAAAAGCATTTGTAGGGGCGGCTGGCGATGGTTTGTAGAGGCGGCTCGGCCAGCCGCCCCTATCAAATCGTCTCTATAAATCATGTATTTGTAGGAGCGGTTTCCAGACCGCTCTTATAAATCGATTTGTAGAGGTGGCTAGTATTATCAGCCGCTCATACAAATCGATTTGTAGGGGCGGCTACAGTACCAACCGCCTCTGCAGTACATTTTTTCGTAAAAAATATTCAAATTTACAATTCAAATTCGACCAACGACAATACATATTTATTTATACCAGATTATCTTGTTCTATACATTTATTTATACGAGATTATAACAAATATTCCATGACAATACACAATTCCATCATGACTTATATTCCTGGCTGTTAACAGAGCTATTGTGAAACCTAGCACGCTGATTCGGCGTAGCCATAGAACGTTATGGTGTTCAGGCTGGTGACCTGCGCGTTGTAGCTGTAGAGCGCTTCCCGCACCTTGGTGAAGACGCCGGTCTTCTTGCAGAAGATCCTGAGGTGGTATTTGTATGGCCCCAGAGGAACCAGCTCGATTTGACCCTGCACAGATGTATGGAACAGTGAGTCTGTGAGGGATCAATAGTACATCACGGCTAAACATTCAGCTTCAAAACAGACATCCAGTGATTTCAGGTTTTCTGATCTCACGCATTCTAAGAAATTTCAGAGCTTAACCTTTCAGTACATGATAGTTTGATAGTTGAAGTTAATAATTTTATACTAATAATCAAATAAACAAGAGTCAATTTGATGAAATTTGAATTGTACCGATTCAAGCATCTGCTGGGGATAGTCAGCTATTGAAAGGTACTAAATTAGTGTCTCCCAAAATCGTGATGAAGCTGAGTTGCTCTATTAGTTTTCAGTTCCAAAAGAAGCACAACATTGATCCTGAAGTCCAATGCTATCATAACATTTCTCCTTTACCTAATTGAACTATTCTGCTCTCATTCGTCCAAAGAAGATTTCAGGGCTTTTCTAGTTGTTAAGGTTCAGTTCAATGCATCCAAAAATTATGATGAAATTGAGTAACCAAACCTTCTATGAAATGTTTTGAATTTTCGGTTCCAAAGATGCACAGCAACTAATCCTGATGTTTAAACCATGCTTGCAGTATCAACTCATAACAGCAGCGATTACCTGATACGGCATGTTTTCAGTGGCGGTGAAGGATTCAGAACACGACGCGCTGCCCTGCTTCTCCCAGGCCTCTCCAGGCGAGTCGGCGAGCTAGCGTTGCAGCTCAAGGACCGGGTTCTGGAGCTTCTTGATGTGATCGATAGCGTCCGACAGGGTGGACTCCTTGCTCATCTGCACCACCAGCAGAGAAACATATCAGGTTGGGTGGCTGAGGAGTTCAGCATGTATTCCAGGACAACGGAAGACAGCAGCAGACCGATAATTCTGAGGAAAGATAGCTACAAAGGAAACCCAATGGATTGAGATAAACCTATTCAATCATCTATGATGCAGTAATTATATCCGTAATTGTGTCTAATTTGAAACTAAATCATGTAAGGCCTACACGTGCAAAAAAAAAAAAATAACACCAATGGTTGGAGCAAGAGAATTAAGAAAATGAAAAGTAAACCAATTGAATCCAAATAGCAAATCGGATTATAGCCTACATGGAAAGGTGAATCTATTCAATCATCTATGATGCAGTAATTAGAATATTTATTTATGTAAATGTGTCTAATTCGAAGCTGAATCATGTAAGACCTACATGTGGAAAAAAGCTCCGTATGGATAGGCAAATAATGCATACTTGGTTCTACTTTATTTTGGGACCAGTTTACAAAAAATCTAAGCACATGTCACCTGAGACTCTTAAACATGAAAATGAAGCTGAACTACGCACATACAAATTTATTTTGGGACTTGACTACAACCTGTAGGGAAAAGAAGGCAACACAACATTAAAAGGCTAAAATGGATATAGGAGGCACTAAAGCTAGAATTTTCTTGGTTCTACTTATGACTCTCTTTTCATCTTGTCATGTTTATGTCCATGCACCAATTGGATATGAAACAGGACACGAGGCTGACACTATAGCCATCTAGTTTTTTTTAGCTGTCTCTTTACCTTGCTGTAGAGGAGGCATTGTTCTTAGTAGCTACCAAGCAACAAAGCTACCTGCATCGCAGCAAAGTAATCAGCCTGTTATAAACCATACAAGATTGGTGAAATCTAAATCTATTGACCAAACTTAAGGAAATTCTAGATTGCTGAAATGTCAAGGACATGGAGAAGCCTACATGGATAAATGAAATGTCCTTCCGCCTCCATGCTCCATCCCTTTACTTTCAACATTAACAGCTGACATTATTTACATATCAGTTTACAAAACTGTGAGCCATACATAAGAATTGGGGTGAGAATGAAATTCATTGGGAGTTAGTTCCAAAAAAAAGGAAGAAGCACACACATAAATACATTGCTGACTTAAATTCATTGGGAGTTAGTTCAAAAAAAAAGGAAGAAGCACACACATTAACAGCAACCATTATTTACATAACAGCAGCCATTATCTAAATTTTGGCAGTACAGTCCGAGCTACTAAGCACCTTCTTCCTTGTCAATGCCTAGGTGGAAGCAAACAACAAACATGAAATTGCATATCTTGAACTCGGCTTCTGCGGCATAATTTTTCTGGCTTATGTGGCACTGCCTGCACAACCCACAGGTAAACCTGTTGGACATCCATCCAGCCATAACATCAGTACAGGAAAATAGGATGAAGAGTAAGATGAACACTTGACAGGAGTCAGTTGCAGTTGAAAAAGCTCACCTAGACGATAGATCCGACCATGCACCCCATGGATCTGGCCGAGTATCCGTCGGAGCTGACACAGCACGAGAAGCAGCCGCGGCCGTGGTCAGGCCACGGCGTCGTAGCCCGCCCGTGCTGGGCTGCCGCGCTGGGGGCCGGCCTCCCGGAGGGCACCCTCGCTGGGGACGCCGCATAGGACGCCTGCGGGAGCTGCTGGTGGTCCGCTTGCGCTAGGCCCCTCGCGACGCTGCTCGCGCGGGGGCAGCCGCGCTAGGGCCCCGCGCGCCGCCGCTCGCGCCGGGGGCCATCCACGCCGGGGCCCCTCGCGCCGCCGTGCCTGGCCTCCCTAGCCAGGGCTCGGGCCTCTCTCGTGGGGGGCTGCGGCGCCCTCACCCGGACACGCGCGATCGGTGCCCGCCCTAGCCGCTGCTGAGAGAGGAGGGAGAGGGAGGAGAGACAGGTGCAAATGTGGATAAGAGCTAGGGTTGAAGCCTATATATATACGACATGGAAGGAAACAGCAGCACCGTCGATCTTCAAATCCAACGGCCGACATTCGATTCATTTGTAGGAGCGGCTCACATACCAGCCGCCCCTACAAATCGACGTATTTGTAGAGGCAGCTCGTATTACCAGCCACCCCAACTGTGTTATTTATAGGGGCGGCTGCTGTGCTGGAGCCCGAACACGTCACTGTAGGGGCGGCTCCAATGCCAGCCGCCCCTAAAAAAGGCTCCGTTGCTACAAACTGTTTTTCACGTAGTGATTCAAAGGCCCAGTGCTTGGGGGTGTTGGATCGGGGGCTCCTACCGTCCGGCCGTTCGGACGAGGTTCCCATGCCGGCCTCAGCGCGCGGGAGTGAATTTTGCGGGAGTGCATGCGGGCGGGAACCAAGAGTTGCGGTGGCCAGGGTACGCGCGGATCTAAATTAATCAGTGCAGATAATAAAGCCAAAATAATTAGCGTAGATAAGGGCCCACCTAAGCATGCACGAACTAAAAAAAGTCATAATTACCAAACCAAACATCCAAATTAAATTCTGATTACACCATCAGCTTTCTTGCACTAGATCCTTCAAAATAAGATCACACATGAATATATTTAGGTAAGTTTTTATTTACGAACATTTATCCTTTGAAGATAGAATTTTTTTTTGATAGAAAGAAAGAATATTTTCTATTATTGAGCAGAGGCAGTGTTCTAGGTTCAGACATTAATGTTCCATTTTTGTAAGAAAAATGTTCTCGGCTTAGAAGAACAATATTCTAGTTTTAGGTGCATAAAAACTCGACCTGCGGTGGGTATGACGGCCCCCGTGTTTTCCCTTTAAGAAGAAGATCTTCTCACACAGATCGAGAAAATCCCCGAACCTCGCCGTCATCCTGACGCAGCGGTATCCGTTGCCCTGTGAGAACCGGGCCGGGCCATAACTGCGCTTTGGCACATGGGGACGGACGAGGGGATTTTTTTAACCTCAGCCAGAAATTCGCTCCCACGGGGAGTCGAACTCAGGACCTGAGGTGTGCTGCCGGATCACCTAACCGTTTGAGCTAGACGCCCTTTGGCTAGTTTTAGGTGCATAATATTGATATTATAATATACATAAAATAAATAAATAAATAACATAACATAAAAAAAATCTAGAGCAAAGCATAAGGAAAAAATAAAAAAAGTAATAGAGAAAAAATAAAAAGAATATCGCATAGATACTTTTCATACATTAAAAAACTATAAAATATCACATGTATACTAAGTGAATATCACTAAATACACCATAGAACATCACTAAATATATTATCAAACAACAAATATATATTACGTGAACATCACTAAATACGCATAGAACATCACTTGTATACTTTGTGAAAATCACAAAAAACATCATAGAATATCACATATATACTACGAGAACAACAAATGCATATTACGCGAACATCTCAAAATACATCATAGAACATTATATGCATACCACGTGAACATAAAAACCATCATACAACATCACATGTATACTACGTGAACATCACATACATACTATGCGAACATCATAAAAATACATAATAGAATATCACATGTATACCACTTGAACATAAAAAAACATAGAATATCACATGTATACTACATGAACACAAAAAAACAACATAGAACATGACATGATATACCATGAGAACATCATAAAATGCATCATAGAACATCACATATATACTAGAACATAGCATCTCATGAAAAAATAGAAAATAAAAAATTAAATATGAAAAAATAATTAAGTAAGGTAAAATAGAAAAAATAGAAAATAAAAAATCTATAGAAAATATAAAGATAAAACAACAAAGGAAAAATAAATAAATACAAAAAAAGAATAAAACATAAAAATAAAAAAATAAAGCAAACATAATAATTAGTTATAAAAAATATAAAAAAGAAAAGAATAATAAAAACCACATGAAACAAAAAAATAAGCAAAAATAAAAAAAAAATTGGGGAAAATAAAAGGAACATTTCATAGATACTATTTGAACAAACTAAACATCTTACTAGTACTACGTGAATATTCAAAAATAATCATGGAGCATCCCATATATAATACATGAATATCTGGGACATCATAGAATATCATAGATACGATGCGAACATCACATATATCTCATCGAATATAAAAAAGTAGAACATGAATAATGAGAAAATATATTTTATTTTCAGTAACACAAAGAAGGAGAAAAAAAATAAAAGGAATAAAGGAGATAAAAGTAAAAAATCAATAGAAAAGGGAAATGAAAATGAAATAAAAGAAAAAAGAAAGAACATAAAAATAAACTCATCTAAGCCTCGACACATGAGTGTGGCCAGTAGCTCCACCTCCGGACACGAAGCGCTAACTCTATAGCCCATATTATCATCAGAAAAGTAAAACATAAAATGCATAGTAAAAGAAAAAATAAATAAAAGAAATATTTAAAAAGGTAAAGAAAATAAAAAGAAGAAAAAACCACACAAAAAGAAAAAAGACAAATAAGAAAGGAAAAAAGATAAACGTACCAACTTGGGAGTCAACATAAAAAACAAAAATATAATAAATAGATTGCAAGAAAAAAGAAATAAAAGAAAGACAAAACAAAATAAGGATAAAAAGGAAATATAAGAAAACAGAAAAGAAATACAAGAAAATAAGAAAAGAAAAGAAACACACTGGTCTTCCAGTGGCAGAGCGCATCGTTGTTCGCTCCACTTATCGTTATTGGGCCAAAAAAAAAGTATAGGAAACAGTCCAGCCAGTCAAATAATGAAGCAACGAAAAGAAACAGAAGAAAAAAAAAACCGGCAATCTACCCAGCCGATATCTGGCTTGGCGCAGCGAGTTGCCCTCCTCCGCGCTTGTCGTTCGACGCGGCGGTCCGTCCGAACGTTCGGACGGGATGATTCCGTGTTGGATCGACTTGCCTGGGCAGGTGCTTTTTAAAATTAAAAAACTTCATCATTTTTTTTCAAATGACCTCTAATTTAGACAAATAATATATCTATTTTGAATATCTCAACTAGCTCTTCACAATGGCGCACTTCATTTTAGCATTCAAGATTGTTTTGCAACTACGAATATTTAAATTACTATTCTAGTCATTTTGGCACCAATTTGTAAGTGCTCCATATAATATGTTTCGTACACATTTTTTGCATATCTTGTGAAACAAATCTAGAGCATCAATATTAATGAGAAGCTGGTTATATAATTGTGTTTTTATCATCTAATCTGTATAAGTGATCAACTATATGTCGCTAATTATCTGTTATATATCATTATATTGCACCGGTTTGAGGAATTTCTAGGCGGTTCAATTCATCCAGTTCAAAACTATCAAACCGGAGGTTCAACCGGTTCTTAACGGTTGAACCAGTGAGCCAGCGAACCAATGACCTCACCAGTTCAATGTTCGGTTTGGTCCTAATAACAATGGGTGGAGGCGGCCGGGCTAGGTCGGGGGCCGGGCGCCCATGGCTATGGCGGCGGCGGGAGGAAGTAGGGATTGCTTGTGGGCGCAAAGAGGTCTCGACGACGAGCTCCACAAAGAAGCCGGAGTTCGAGTAGGATCCTGCCGCGCCGTGATGGGCGGGCAAGTGGCGGGCTTGGCGCCAAGGAGGAGGAAGAAGGTAAAAAAATGGGTGCTCGGTGCCGTGCCAAAAAACACGTGGATTGTTGGATAGATAGCTCCAATATTATAGTCGCTGTATTTTTGTCCCAGTCATTGGCCCCTTGTAAATACTTTTGTCTTGTTAATGAGCGTCGTGATGTTGTTCAACGTTTCCTAGAGTATCGAGGGAAGTCCTCGATCGTTAGAGGAGGCGATGCATAATTTTCTAGATGGGCTGGTCCACACAA